TTTTTTTTTGATAATATTACTTTTATGATTTCTGTAATAATTATCTTTGTACTTCTGGATATAATATTTTGATGATAATACATAATACCAATCTAAATGATATATGTTGGATTATAACATGAACTAGTTGCTTGTGTATCAAAAATATGTCCACAATTATTATGAAGTGGTAAATCATAAAATGAATCATTTTTATTGTGTTAGTGTTATTTGTTTAACCAAATCAAAACAAAAAAAAAACAATTAATGAATAGATTATAATAGAAAATTGTCTAATAAAGAATAATGGGGTTATATTTTAATGATGCAAATTATGTAAATTTGTTGTTTGACCACATGGTACYAAATGTTGCACAAACATTATTTGGGATTGATGAGTTATAAGATTATTAGAATAGAGTCACAGATAAAAATTAATGAGTATGATCGAGTTTTATAGAATTTCTCATTCTCCACCGATTTCAACGATTCGAGGAATCTTTAGATAATTGTGTTTGGACCAGTTATTTCAAGGTGTCTTAACAAATATTAAGAGCATTACATTCATAACCACATATTTATTTAATTATTTAGCTTTTGGTTGGTGTATAGTCAAAAAAAAAGTTACTTTCCTACTAATTATTACTATCTACCACAAAGGTAAAGACCATCTCGGTTWAATTTATCTCTGGGGAATGCCGGGTAAAACAGCTAGGTAGTTTACATTTTTAAAATACATTTAAATTCCAAAAATCTAGTAAATCCTAATAAAAACTGAAACTCACTATACTATGATTATTTTGCATTGTGGGGACATAATTACGATCTATATATTGCCTATATTATTCCACTTTTCTCATTTGTCACTAACCTTGTAATTTTCTTGGTGCCTATTAAATTGTTATATATTATTATAAAAATCTTGATTATTCATTTATATGTGATATTGAATAGTTTTACATTTTTCTATCGATATTTTATTCCGTTTGAGTATTAAGAGTTAATTATTTCTTTACGGAGATTTATATAGCCACTAGAATTGTCAAGCAGTATACCTAAATCACCAACAATAGCAGCAGTGTGATATTGACGAACTCGACCCTCGCGAATTTTGATTATTATCATCATTATTATCATTATAATTACTATTACTTTTAATTCACTATCGCGTGGCACGCAATATAATAATATACAAATTATATAGCATCAACGGTGCGCCTCAACGATAACAATAATCTCGCACAGAGTTCAATCCCATTGTTGATGTGTACACTATTAATCACAATTGGTTACTGGGTAATAATATAACACCTATAATACACTGTATAGTGTATATAGGTTTCTGTATTATTATTATAATAGGCTACGCGAAATAACTCGCTACAACCCGAAGAAGAATGATTCGCATTTTGAGGTGCCGTCGTCGGTCGCGTGATATATTATATAATATTATACACGGCAAAAACACCGTTGCCCTGACTATTGTTCGTATATGTAATATTATAAGTAATAACATGTCTAACAATGCCATTGAGATAGATAAGTATTACACTGGATTGCGTACTAGTCACCAAAAATAAGGTAAGGCGAATAAAATATTCTTGTCAAACAGTACCTATATTGTGGGTAAGGGGGGGGGATAACCCTGTTAGCTGTCATGACGTGACCACTTTTCGGACATTTTTTTTACGTTGTGGTTGTATAGAGGCCAGGGAGTAAATTTTCCAGTATTATTATCTATCTTGATGGTCGACATGTACCTACTAATAGTACTAAATAATATGATAATATACAGTAACTTGTACKCCACTGTAACGGTAGCAGAATTTAACACGAAACGTATCAGCTTGATAATATTACAAACCACCCACTTATGAATTAATATTTATTAAAATTTCATAAACCGATTAACTATCATCATGACATAATATAATAGAACTGGCTTTTCAACAGTGTTTGAAACTATGTGATCAGCATATTATTGTGTAATAATTATTAAAGTTGGTTTGGATGAATGATATGTGGTGCTATCTACATTCATAAAATAGCTATTTTAATATATCACACTTTCTATCTTGGTGAGATAGATGGCGAAATGATTGGATAGGTACAACTTTACTATCGACAACCTCATACAGTAATATTAAATATATATAATATATATATATCAATTATTTATCACCTAATTTTATTATTATTTGTTTTTACGTCGATACTAAAAAATATACAAGAATGTCGGTGAACATTAAATATAACTATTTTTATACAATATACTTCACTATTATGTATAAAATAATGCTATTAAAATGGTGAAAGGCAAGCAAATAAATAATACAATTAATATTTATATTATTATCATGAAAYTAAGACTAAACATTGTATGGTCTGATGAGTAAAGTTTTTTTCTACACTTCACTTGAATAAAAAATCTAGGAAAGGATCCGACCTTATGTATAGCTAAAAAAATGTCATTTTTCAGTCTATACTCTATACTATAGAGTCTATAGTATTAATACTATACTACAAAATATTAGTTTGTAAGTARACAGTGCCWCATACCAATTTCCCGATGTGAATATAACGCCGCAATAAAGACGTCGAGTTTCCAAACCTATCTTTTTGGCCATGACTTTCACTATAATATAGTAAAAATATTATAAAAATAACTAAATCAAAACATTAAYATAATATTTTCAATTTAATATTAACTTGATAACATTAAAAATATATTATAAAAACATTTAAATTTTAATGTTATTAATATAACTAAACTACAACATTATTAAAATATTATTGTTAGGAATTTCCTGTCTGGGATGYAGTTTGTAGTAATCAGTTAGACAACATAAAAGAAAATAACTATAATAATAATATAATTATGTACCTACGTGAGTACAACAATATACAATAATTCTAAATCCTAACCATGATTACTTGAGTTACCGTAAAGCAACCAATAAGTGTTAAATATATTGTTAATAACTACAAAGTGTTGTAGCTAATAACATTTTTAATAGTATTATTTATTTATTTCAGATTATAGGAGTATAATATAAATAATATAAGAGTTTTGGCATTGTTGGAAAATAATTGTTATAAGGGTGGGATGATTATACTAATTATTTTCACATGGTACTTGGTTTGAAGAACTAATATACTGACTACCTACTAATAATCTTCACTGTTGTAGTGGTGAAGAGCAGAGCTTACATACTGTATTCCTAGTATATCGTTAAATATAAAATAATCAAATATTGTATAAAAAACATGAAACCATTTGTCAAAAATAGTTTTTTTAAACATTTTATTTTCACCTTAATTATTCCTAATATTATTTTTATTTTTTTGAAGTTCTTGAAATCTATTCACTGGCCTCCAATCTAATCTAATATAAATGTTTTAGCATTAAAGTTAAAAATCAAAGCATATTTACATTTAAAAATGGTAATGACAGAGACAAAAATAAATACATTCATCATTGTAAAATCATTGAAATCATCGCATCGCTAATAGTATRAACTCTGATCACATAGTACATTATGATTAAAAAAAAAATATATTAAACTATTAATTATATTAATTATATTGAACATAAAATTAAAATGTGCGAAATTAGTCAATGAAATAAAAAAATAAAAATGTAATCTCTTGTTTTTTACAATTGAATTTATAGTGTTATCATTATTGATTTGAATTGGCCAGTTAAAAAATTCCCACAAAATCCGATATATAAAATAACTGAAAATAATTAAATCGTTATTTTGTTTTCAGGTGAACATCCGGCCGCAATGCACCACGGTCAGGGCAGCATTCCACTGTGTCCGCCGATTGTCAGCGCCATGATCGTACCGTTTTTGCTCATCTTTACTGCCAGAGACCTATAGTACCAACAACACACACTTGTYCACCAGAAATATTTAATATTAACATATTATATTATTTTTAAGAATAATAATGTATATTATTATCATAACATAATAATGATATAGGTTGAAACATTTTCTGATTTAAATGTAAATGCCTATCGTAATAATATTGTACATAATATGTACTCATTGAGCAATAAGCTCAAAAACGTTGACGATGCAGTAGACGATTTTGACGTAAGATTTTATCTTGTCTTTTAAGTCACTCGTATTTATTTTCATCGTTAAATACGCGTTTCTTTTTGGAAACTACGTACGCACACAAAATGCAYGCCTACATGCGTACTTCTAATAGTATTATTATTATATTATATATACACGTCCGTCGTTGATTTGTTTCTCGTTACTTATTAATTACATTGTTATAACATAATATACCCCCCTAATCGTGTATAATATAATAGTATAATATAAATTATATTAATATACTTCTTTTTGTATTAATTGGCACAGATTACTCAATACGCGCTTCTTCAGCGTATATTTTTGAACCGTACATAACCATGTAACATGATAAACAGGTGAGATATCTCTGCGTAATATTATGCACCACCGATAACATTTCATTGTAATTCATTTATAAAACCGATTCATGAAAAATAATTTTTGTGTAACACCAATTTATGTCTTTTAAATGTATTATCGCCTAGAGAATTAATTAATTGAGAACAGCTCTGAATCGACTAACACAAGATATCTGACTTGATGATAAACTTCTACGTATCCGAAATGTCACACATTTGACTGTTACATGTATAATCTTGGGAACCATTCAAAATTGATGATAAAAATTACGTGGGAAAATATTTCTGCTCATTTTAAAGTTATTAAGATTTTGGTTGTAGGTATAACGATTCTATAAAATAAAATACTATAATATAGTATTTTATTAATACCTTGATCTCATATAATAAACGCAGTGTTGATTTTGTATTGAAAATTAAACAGATTTTGTTAGATACCAATCATAAAATTGTTACAATAATTATTTTATTTGCATTTTTTTAGTCAAATGTGGTTTATGTTTTTTTTTTTTAGAATGTGACATAAATATTTACTATATAATATGGAATATACTGTTTTAGATATACATGAAACTGTGACTCACAAATAACGTTGTATTATTAGTATCAATGTAATGTTCTAGTCTGTTATAACAAATTAACATTTAATATATAATAATAATAATATGTCAACAATTATAATAATTATATAAAATTACAATACATTGAACATACTAGGACTAAATAACCATCATAAATCATACACTTTTTCAATAATAATTATTGTACAAATAAAATATTTTATGAAGTAGGCATATAAATACAATACATATTATATTTAAGAAACGTTGTTTATATGATATTAAAAATAATTCATTTGTTCAAATCTATAAGAWATACATGATTATATTATTATGCATAAACAAACAACCCAAGCAAAATGTAAGGAAATTAATACAAAGTTCTTACCACTAATATTATTGTGTATTACTTAAAAATTGAAATCTGTTAGCTTAGTGTAAACAAATTATTAATATGTATTTATAATAACGTAAAATAGTTATATATAATAATGACTAATGAGTAATGATCAAAACAGCAGATGCATTCACCTAAGTTATTATATATTAGCACTACGTTTTATTTCACGTTTATTTCCTCTAGTAATTTCTATATTCGGTCATCAAAAAAACTCGTTAATGTGGTATACATTTTTTCAAAGTTTTTCTAAAATTAGAAACTTTAATATACCAATTTACATATCACAGTAATAATAAAATACTGTTAAAAACAAGACAATTTCTATATTGAATATGATTTGCCAAATTAGTTCTGTATTTTTATAAACGTATTATAAAAGTATTATAAAACAAGGATTTTAACTACTAACGATTATAACTTTTCATAAAATTACAAAATACCTATACCATTGTATTATTTAATCTAGTTAAACATCAGTCTATGCATTACGATACCTTTTTATGATTTCACTATAATTAAAAGTTATGATTCATGCATCAATAATTTAATTTTGTAACTCGGACAACAATTTTTTTTCTTGAATACCTAAAAACCATTTTGTACAGTATATAAATATATAATGTATTTGTTATATATATATCAATATAATGTATAAACATATTGTTTTTTAAATGTCATCAAACGTTATTGTTATAAGATAATTTTTTTTTTCAAACGTTTAATATCTGTTAGATTAAATTAGAACAAAATACTTATACACAGGGTTGTCACACAAAGAGAATAAAAACGATTGTTTAATTTATTTATAAACATAATTCTATACAAATAGTTGTCCACTGTTATAGATTTAAATTTACAAAAAAAGGTTTTTTTTTAATTTAAATTAGTACATATTTACAATCTGTGCACAATAAAGATAATAATATTATGTATCATAGCTATATTATTATTTTTTTTTTTTAAATACACCTAAATCTATGTGTAGATAATTATTATACCTACCTAGTTACTAGACATTATACAACGGTATTTTAAAACTAAATTCTACTTTTACTTCACATTAATCTATAAAATTAACTCTTCACGTCAAGTTTTATTATATTTATATATATATATCATCTTTGATAAGTCTGAATTTAATTTGAAATACACGTTTTAGTTTTCAAGTGACAACCTGTATAACTAAATCTTTAACATTGTGTTTCGTTATTAAAAAAAAAAAGTTATGAGTTACCTATAAACTATTAAAATATGTTTATAAAAGATTTAATATTTGTTTTGTTGAAAAAAATAAGTTCATGTTTAGTATTATTTTGTACTTACTTGTTTATAATATTAGGTTTATAAATTACATGTATATATAATTCAATATAATTTATTGTACAGTAAATCTTATCTTCGTTTTATTGAATCAATATTTGTTGTATCCAATTTAAAAATATTTATCAATAAACATATTTATTCCATAGCTATTGGTGTTAAGTTATTCAACCATTGGAAAATATATAGATTAGTKTATTACTTAGAAATTAGAATTTTCTTATAAAAAATATGTAGGCATTAAGTTTAGKATTAACTATATGAACTTTTAATATGAAACTATCATAAATAATTGTAAATGTTAATCTTTTAAAATTTGCAAYTGAAAACTTTAGGATGAAAGTTGTTTTTTTATTTGATAGACAACAAAATATACAAACAGTGTTTATATAGACAAACCAGTACACTTATAATACATCTAATCTCATAAACATGCTTTTGGTATCTATGTGCAATAGTCGCACTTAAAAAAACTTAAATAAAACTTAATATCTATATGTACATTAAAAAAAATAAATATTTTGTTATATCAATATCATTTGTAGGGGCTTAAATTATCATATAAATCCGCCTATTTTTTACCAGATATTGCTCCCAACTACGGAACAACTTGTCCTACACCTCTATTGAGCCCTGCGTCCCTTCAAATTCTTCTTTAATTGTACTAAAAAATTTTTTTGACAGTTCCTAGACAGTCTATTTTGCCTATCCATCTGTAATATGCAATCTATATAATATGCACAAAATGTTATATAATGAAATATAGAAAATTATTTAAAATGTAAAAAAATCCTTAATGAAGTTGGTTGTAATTCACAACCAAAATTGTGAATCCTAAAAAGCGTTATCGAAACTTCAAAAAAATTGAATATTTCAGTTGTCTATAAATATTTCAAAGAAAGTCAAAATATTTTGAAAATTAAATCATGTAAAGAAAATGCCAATCTAAATAACTG